ACCAAGAAGTAGTACTCTCACTGAAGTCATAATGAAAACATGATAAAAATAGAATATCATGATGAAATAATAAATATTTTTGCCATAGAAACCTTCCGGGTTGAACTAATTTGAAAATATTTTTTAGACTCTTTCCGTTGATGAGCATTTCGTTTTCATATTGAATTCGTATCATATCAATGAAATAGTTCTAAAACGATGGAAATGCTTAAAGATGAGTCTCAATGGTGTTTAAGGGATACTCAGACAAATTTATGCGAAATATGAAAATTATCTCCGCTAAAATGACATTTATTAAAGTCCCAGCATGAATTTCTTTATAAATTCTATATATTTTGGGTTTGAAGCGTAAATATATAAGCGGAAATTATCCGGACCTCATATTTTCATTTCTTTCATTTAGGAAGGTACATTTCTTGCTCTTTCGGTTTATTAACACCAATTACAGCTTTTCCTTAATTGACAAATTTCTAAATCAATAAAAGAAGAGAAAATAATTTTAAATACATTTCCAATATAGGAAATAGCTTTTCATGACCTTAAATATATATGTACTATGAAACATATGATTTCAGAAGAGACAACCATGATCAGTCTTAATAAAAGGTAGTGATTAAAACAATTAATAACTCAATCGCACAAGAACAATTAATTCAGATAAAACACGTCTCTTCAGGTATAACTCGAAAGATCTTCGATCCGAAGGAAATTTTGAAAGCTGCAATATTGTTACCAGCACTGACTAGAAGGACGTTGAAATGAAACAAAGAAATTTATTTGAATCCACCACTTTCCAATTACTAGGACTTTTTTCGCGTCATTTTCATACAAGATGTTACTTTATACTAATTTATTTAAGTTCGATTGTGTTGGAACACATAAGCTTAATGAAACACTCTCAAATCCGTTCCTTGAACTAACCAGTACTGTGTGTAAAGTTGCTAACGGAAACAACTGTTAGCCCCGATGTGGTTTGAACCCACGCGACCAGCAATCCTTAGCTAACTAGTCCAACGCGTTAACCACTCGCCCACGCCGCCTCTCATAACAGATGTTGAATACCTTAGAAATGAATGAAATCTTTTCTCTTAATCACCAAACTATCAAATTTAAAGTGTAGTGAACATGCTTTTATTTCGCCATTTTCATAAGGTTTCTGGAAATTTTAATTTCTTCTTACAGTTCAGTGTGTCTTTAATATGTTTTTTTGCCACACTTTAGATACATTGTAGAGCATTGCTGTCTTTAAAAGCCTTTCCTAAATTTATAGACAGTTATATTCACTTTATTAATATTACAAAAGATACGTACAAACTTGTATTTCATAAATTTCATCAAGGATTGAATGTTTAAGAATTATTTAGCAAAAGATATTCTCAACAACAGACTAGTTCGATTTCTGCAATTTAATACTCCATTCCGTGGATTTTTGCCAGATATCTATAGACTTCTACAAAAGTATCAACTATGCGATGTGTTACATACATACAAAGATACGGGATCCTTTCCATCGAAAATTGCTTGGAAACGTACACTTACAAAACATATTATTAATACTGAAAAACTTAATCGATATAACAGGCTAATGACAAGTGATCATGGCGACCTTTTAAGAGCTATGATAAAAGTGAATGAGCCAAATGTACTGTGGCAGATAGCAAAATGTAACCAAACTCTTTTGAATATATGTTCAGTATTAGTTTCCGCCATTGGAACTCTCTGTTCAAATAAATATATTCGAACGTGTTCAAAGTGTTCGGTGTTAACAGACGATATGACAACGCATTTGCTGCTGAACTGTTCTGAAAACAATTTATTAATTGAAAGTATGTGGAACGGCGTAATCGACCGCCTTGGCATGGACTGGTTTTCGGACTTGATAGGCCGTGAGCCTAGGGAGCAGTGTGTCAGGTGCCTTAGCTTGGCCATCCAGAATAACGATACGAAATTTTCAAACTTTTGGATGACTAAGTGTATGTTCAAAATGTACAAAGTGCATTAATCAGAAAATAGCACAATTCTTTTGAAAGAATTGTTTTTATGTATCGATGTTATGTCTACTGAAACAAAGCTGAACTTTGTGTATGAATAAGAGAAATAACCATAAATTATGCATATTTGATTTGCATTTATACATGTTCATGAAAATTATATTCGCACATATCTTTTTCATTTAATTGCAAATTTACTGTATGTATTCATAATTGCAAAAGTGTATCGATTTGGACTGTATTATACAGTTGTTTCATACTCCATTTATAGCAGTAGCATAGCAGATTTAAGTTTAAAAATAAATGATATTTACCATCAATTAAGTGGTTATAGGAATTAAAAATCATTTTGTTAAATAATTCATTTCAAACATCAGAACTTTCCGTTTAGCGTTGCTTAAAAATATTTTTTTTAATGAATTGTTCAATCAGTGTAACTTGGATTACTATAGTAGTGAATTAAATAGTAACCGTTTATATTCTTTATGAAAATGACATTTCGATCATCTAGTGAACTGGTCTTGGTTTTCATATAAATGTCATTGAATTAAAACTTGTAGATTTTTTCCTTGCTCTCTGTTTCCTAGTGTTTCGTTTTCGCTCTAGGGTTAGAGGGAAGTCTAAATCATATACAAGCATTTTTCCCCGTCTTAATTCTTACTCAGTGCTTTACTTTTCAGTTAGGGGCAAATCATATAATTGTGCTGTCCAATGTATACATTTCATAGATTACTTGCATTTGTTTTTCTATATTCTGTCTTGTAATGTATATATATTACATTTGTATACTTGTTGTGTCTGTAGTTATGTAATAACTGGTTGTGTAATTATTGTTCAAATCTTCATGTATTATGGAGGATAATAAATAAATAATAAATAGTTGTGAAATGTTCAATCTTTGTAAACTATAACACATTGATCAACCTAAAATATATCCATCCTTGTTTTCTTGACCTAGTTACAAAGACTTCTTTAATATTTTTGTTGTGGGTTGTCAGATATCATGATTTATTTTGTGCATACCTCATAAAATGTTTAATTCAATTTCTAAAATCACACATAAAACATGTTTTGAATCATATCATAATCCAGGGATCGAATGTTTTATCCTTTGTGGAATGGGCTTCGTTATCTAAGTTTTAGAAGATGAAGATTTCTCCGAAGTTTCTGTTTGAGCTTTTATCCAGTCATATATAATTAAAGATTATATTGCATGGAACACATGAAACTTTAAAGAATGTTTAAATCACTCTCTGAAAACAGATAAAATATTAAATCATATAACTCAATGCTCGTATGTTTTATCTTTGTGAAATGTGTCTCCTTGCACAAGTTGAAGATCTCTTCGGTATTTTTTATAGTGTGTTAATCCTGTCAAGTATTACAATCTTTTTTGTGAGAGGAAGTTATTTAGCTTGTTTAAAATAAATTCTCAATAGTCTATTAAGTAAGTGAGACTTTAACACGCTTGGTATCGTAACAGAAGCATTCAGTTTACTGAAACATCGTCATTGATTAAACATCATTTTATATGATTTAAGTAAGCAAATAAATTAGTCTGATATCTCAAATAAATGTTGTTTATGTGCATTTAATGAAATTTTAAAAGGAGCGCCCGTGGCTTAGGTCAGTGGTTTTCCTCTCCTCAGGTGCCCGTTCGTGCCTGAATAATGCACAAATAGTAACTGAATTCTACCTTCACCAGAAAAATTTAGATTAAAATATTTTGTTACGATAATTTCTATCATGTTAGGTTTACTACATACTGGATTAAAATTGAACAAAACACTTCATATAAATATATTTAAGAATGACTGGGATTGTCAGTTATCACAAAGATTAAATGTACTAATTAAGTTTAAGAAACAAACTGATGTCAATCAGCTCACGGACGATGACTCTAGGGTTATTTACTGAGGGGATGAGCGGACAGCTATCAGTTTCCGCTGATTAATTCCCTCCGTTTTTGGTTTATTTAAACATTTTTTCAAGTCAATGAACTTGATTAACTTTCTGTTTGTGAAAGTATTCCTAAAGGACGCAAATGTTTCGCGACTGAATTTCAGAGCCGCCTTGTATCAACCCATCAGAATTAACAGTAATTTTTACACAATACACATCTGACTTTGAATGTATTTGATTTTCATGCAAGTTTAATAATGTGGTCTGGCCAATATCAAATAGAAAATAAAATGAGCCGCGTTACGACAAAACCAGCATAGTTTGTTTGCGACCAGCATGAATCCAAACCATCCTCGCAGTCTGATCAGGATACATGCTGTTCGCAAACCCATTATGTTGGTTTTGTCGTGACACGGCTCAAATTAGTCGTTGAGTGGTTGTCTGTTCCTTTTGAGTTACACAAACTTAGGACAAACATGATCTTTGTTTCCCGATATAACATGAAATATGTGCTTTCCTTATAATATATCTGACCGGCCACCAGACAGAATTATTTTATTGGTTTTATGAAAGTATTCGATATTTGAAGTAAATGAAGCTATTTATCTGCTAATTAAATTTGTGTTTGAATATTTAAAAAGAATACTTCCGAAATGCATGATTGGCAGAAACAGGCTAGTATCTTTTCTAACAGCGAATGTGGCATGCACGAAATTATTGCTAAACGGTAAAATATCTACTTTTAATAGCGGCATAAAAGTTTGTTCATTTGTTCATATAAGACAGTTTTTTCATATTCTACCTTTAATTTCAAAATATAATGTTAAATGTGACAAATGATTATTTTTTCCCAGTTATTCCAATAACTATCCGAAGATATAAAGTTGTTACATTGTAACAGATGGGTTTTGTTCCATATCCGTTACCATACTAGAAAAGTTATTGAAGAAAAAAATTGTTTGTTCAAAATTGTTACAGACTCTGAACAATTGGAACTCGGCCAACTTGTCATAAAATTCTGAAAGCTGTATTGGAATACTTGATCCTTACAGAAATATAACGCTGGGATAAACGGGTAAATTATTGATTAAAGTAATATTTATGAAAGCAGATCGATCTGTTGACGTCACTAGGTTGCTGTACCAGAGTTTATTAGAATGAGAAATTAAAATGGTGGATTATGCGACTTTTTGCTCAAGTCTTTAAAGACAAACGTACAACATAGAATATGACTTTTATGGCGGAATTACAAACAGTTTTTGGTGTAATCGTCCTGGATGGTAAGTTTTGATTATTTTGTAGGTTAGGTGATAACTTAAAGGTACTTTAAACAGAAAGATTAAAGGAATATAGGCATAGAGTATTTGAAAACGACAATTTATTGATTTTTACTTTTTATGTAATGTGTCAAAATCATTCTAAAAACTACAATAATTGTTTGTTCGTGAAGTTGGCAGCCTAGCAGCCTAGCAGCCCAGCAGCCTGAAGTTGGCAGCCTAGCAGCCTAGCAGCCTGGCAGCCTAGCAGCCTAAAGAAAACTAAGAATAGTACAAACATGAAATCGTCGGATATGAATCGGAAGCACATACTTAGACCATTGCACGTCTTATTTCAGTATCGCGATCTTTATTTTTTAAATATATAACTTTGTTTTTTTTATTTTGACGCTTCGAAATTTGTGAAGTTAGCAGCCTAGCAGCCTAGCAGCCTGGCAGCCTAGCAGCCTAGCAGCCTTAAGAAAACTAAGGAAAATACAAACATGTAAACCGTCGGAAATGAGTCGGTAGCACATACTTAGACTATTCCACGTCTTTTTTCAGTATCGCGAACTTTATTTTGTTCAATATTGAACTTTGTTTTTTTTTGTTTTTTTTTTACACTTCGAAATTTGTGAAGTTAGCAGCCTAGCAGCCTGGCAGCCTAGTAGCCTGGCAGCCTTAAGAAAACTTAGGACAATACAAGGATGTTAAAGTCGGAAATGAGTCGGTAGCACATTCTTAGACTATTCTACGTCTATTTTTCAGCATCGCGAACTTTATCTTTTTAAATATTGAACTTTGTAAAAGTATATATAATATGGGATTTTTATTTAAATCGTTATTTTTTTGTTTTTGATAGAATTTAGGGTTCCTATGATTCATCAAAGAGCTGTTACAATGATATATTGAATTGTATCAATTATCTATCATATAATGTCTACTATATAGTCATCTAAACATTATGAACACAAGCGACGATAACTTGCAACCATTGCCTCAGATATATTTAGCCAGGCCGATTGCACTGTTTGCTTATCACTGCTTTACCTTGGTATTCTTTACTATGATTACTTTTACCAAAATCAGCGACCAAAATATACAAACATAATATATCCATTCAAGACATAGAGTGGGATAAGAGTTTTTTTTATTATACAGTCTATAGTTAAATAGGTTTAAAGCGGTGTTTTGGTCCGACGTCAAAAGAATGCAAGAATCCAACCAAGAGACCTGCCCACATTTCGACAAACAGTATGCACATCAGTACTGAAAATGTATTGGTCAAAGTTATCTTGTATTAAACATTCAATGTCCAAACTGCTATTATATTTTTAAAATATCATTGTTTTTAAATGAAAATATGTTTAAATGGTCTTCAATTTACAACTTAGATATTGTTTTTTTACCTTATTGTATGTCTCTTTCAGTTGTTCTCGTGTACGGGAAAGATTGTTACAATTATAGAGAAGAACCCCGCATTCGATCATGTGATTATTGCTGCGGTGACGAATATGAACAGCATTGCTGTAATAACACCTTGCAAATTGTAGGATGTGTCATTGGTTTGTAATTCTTTATATGTTATATATTCTCACGTTAATCTATTATGATAAAAGTTTTATCAAAACGCATTTCATTTATCTTTATGGTTGAACAAATGTTACTGTAACCAGATTTTGAACCTGAGGTTCGGGCCATTTCAGCAGTTTTTTAAGAAATCTGTGAAGAATCCGTGCTTTTAAGAATGAACGAAGTGGAACCTTTACTTTCTATACCGGAAATTCGCTTCACGGCTATTATCATGTCGGAATAACTGAAAGCTAAATATAGCCTTTTCTATCTTCAACTTTGATTGTACTCTGTTAAAGAAACAGCGTTGAAATTTAATACGAATCACAAAATATTTTCATAAATTGACCATCGATGGACATTTTTTTTGTAAACGTATTTATAGTTTAATAAAAATGATGGCACTGATAGTTACGTCAATGTTACTCCTTAAAATTCTAAAAGCATGGGGTGAAAAGGTGCTATCTGAAGATTTTTGAAATTGATATACTAGTAGAATCACAACTAAAATATATTAGAAATTGCCACTTCCGTTCATTATTTATCATCTGTGTTTCCAGGCGCGTTCTTTGTGATCGGAGCAATTATTGGCGTTGGCTATTTTTGTTACCGGAACAAGTCAAAGCGCAGACTCACGCATGCGCCGTCAGCCCTGGGCAGGTTTGGAATGAGATCTCAACAAAACAACGTAATTACAACGCAAGGTGAGTGAAACAAGTTTCCTAAAATAGCAAATACTTTGAAATTATTCTACTTTATTATTTATATTAAAATTAAATACGACAAAATGATATTTTTTCACTTTTACATATGTACACTTTCAATTTATGCATTTTTTAAAATAAATAGTTTTAAGAATAGGTGTAAATAAAGTTTTCTAGTGATATTTTACCTCTGAAATTATCTGTGGAGTGTTAAATATACAGAATAATATCCTATTGCATTAATAAATGTGTAGAATTATGGTTTTAAAAAAACATCTGTCACATTTCAAACCAGTCAGGTTGTGAGAATATTTATATCGCCATCTTAGTGCAATAACGGATTATCTGCTGTTGAAATTTAATAGAAGTTAACTCATTACTGCACTATATTGACGATATATTTCTTACCATATCAATACATATTTCTTAATTTTGATTTCTTTAACTTTTATTTACTCATCTGGGAGCATACATATCTAAATGTATATCTTATTTTCAGAGCGACAAATACAACGGCGTATACCAAGGATTCCAGGAAACCGGGACAATGCGGGCTATGTTCCCACATTTAGCTCCCAAACGATGCAACTACCTGCCTACTATCCGCCAAATTACGTAAACAATATGCATTCTATACCAATAGCTCCTACAGCGCCGATGCCGCCACCATATGAAATGACAATTGCTCCGCCCCCTTACTCTGTGAGCAAAGGTGTCCCGCCTCCACCAGAATACAACACTGTTGTTAGTCATATGTCTAAACCCGGACATAAACCTGGAGAGTATAGTGATTCGATGCCACCACCTACTGACTAGCTATTCCATTTAAGTTGGTTGCATGTTTTGGTTGAATTTATTTTTATTGTTTGCTCATAAGGAAATGGAATGTATTGCTTCACAGAATTTTTCAGAAACCTTTATATCAAAGTGAAATTGCTTAGTTTTTAATCATACCATTAATGTCTTTCCGTGTCTAATTATACTTGTGTTTCAGCAAAGTAATTGACCTGTAGTGATACATATTTATCTTCTGTTCAATCAAAAGCAACATCGTGATGATGTCTATATTAAAAATACCATAAAGAAAACTTACAATATTTTATTGTGTTGAAGATTGGGTACATTACAAACCGGTGCTGAAGGGCTTCAGAAATGTTGCACTTTACATGGTCTCTCATGAACAAACTCGATAAATTTCTTTTTTTAAAACGTTGTTTTCATTGTCTTTAGGGGGATCTCCCATTTTTTTCCAGATTTTAAAAAGTAAAAACCAACATTTTAGTTTTCCTTTTGATATGTTTTAGCCTTATTTTACATCTCCCCCACCTTTAAGAATAACGACCTTATAAAACAACTCATAAAAGCGTTTAATGATTACGATGAAATTTGCGAATCTCATTCCCGGCAAGTCAATATGAAACCGGAAACGGAAATTGCACTTCTCCAAGGGAAATGTAAATGGACCGACAGTATAGGTTTCCATTATGGGTCGATTACTTTGTTTGCATATCCATCTTGTGTATTTACATATGAAACTGCTGAATAATGTTTATATTTAGATCATTTATTTATTATTTAATTCACACACATTTTCTTTTTCTTTCTTTTTATTATGATCTAACCGTTATGCACAGATGTCTGTATTTTGACAAACCTGACCTGGGATTCTGCTGATAAAGTTTGCTTAAGTCAATAATGTTTTGATCCGATAAGTTTATTAACACTAACCCGTCTTGTGGTAAAAGTTACAGGTCAGACTAGTGTCGCTAGTGCTGTGCAACACTTCCCTTTATGCCGCTGTTCCATTTGATTTTGGTATCAATATATTAATATCGATATGTTGATAATGAATAGGTTCACATACAATGTAGGACAGTCCCATCTCCTGTAATTCAGTAGTGAATAGGGATAATTTTGAAACAAAATATCAGACCAAACTTTAGTTGTTAAACAATTAATATCAGTAAACGGCCATTTGGTAATATTAAAAACTATATGTTACTTAATCATATGCTCTAGTTGTTGTTAAAATATTGATCTATATTCGTATAGATAAATATCATATGTAAGAAGTATTTTTATATAGATTTGTAAATAGAAAACTATTTTTTTCTCTATGATTGTCTGTGATAGTTAAGATTTGTTTGCAGGGGGGATCTTTTCCGCATTTTTTTAAAAAAATTTAATGTGTTAATATATATAATATCATATTGTTTTAAATTATGCGTTTAATTGTTGTTTTTTGTCTATTGTTTAAGTACTATTTATATTCTTGTTTGCCGCCTCCTTGGAGATTGACATAATGTGCTGATGAAATTTCTTGGTAAATAAAGTACATGCATCATGTAACTGCATCATTCAGCTGAAAAAAGCTGTTCAACATTTGTTTTTATCAATACTATATGCAGATTGGTTAAAAGGAATATCAATATATGACAATGAAAAGCAAATTTTTATTTGAATTTTTTTTTTATTATCTATATAAAGTTTACATATTAAATTACTGTAGAATATGAGAAAAAATAATTTGAGAAAAAAGCTATATTTATTTCGAAGCATATTTTTTTATAAAAGAATACAGAATCCATGTTGCGCGTGCATGTTTGAAAAATATTCATTAAGTTTTCTTGGCGGGAGTCTTTTTTATCAGCTTTTACAAAATTCATTATTTTAGATTCATTGAATGGATAACGTACATTAATACACCTGCTAAACTTTTACAATCAATATTTTAGTCGATTATTTCAAGACATGCAAATTTCGTAATATCTTTTCAATATTTGATGTTGAAATAGGGTTTCAAAACATCAATATAATTTTAAAATTTATAGGAGAGATTATTTTTCTAATAACTATCAACCCCATAAGCGCTGTATTTTAAAGTAAATCTACTACCAGGGTAGATCAGTCCTTGCATTTTGATATTGAAACCCCACGTGGTTCGGTCCGAAACTCGTATCCCATTATCTAATACGTGCAATGAACAATGCCAAATTTAAAACAACTGACGTGTGTGCATCATATTAATAAATCGTTATCAATTTTTATGGGGCCTTCGCGGTCAATTACTAAGAATCGAAACTCCAATCCGGTGTTAAATAACCCATGAACGCCGCTGAAACCGATATTTTTTTTAAAACAGTACATGCGCCACTATTAATTAATTATTAATACTTTTGAACGGCAGTAGAATTGATCATGTTAGTAAACAATGAACGTTGCGCTTGTTTTATGAAAATATCAATAATTAAGATAATTTTATGGATTTTGTGGATAGTATATCTAGATCTATAGATCTACATCTATTCTGATATTGCCGTTTACGCTCAGTCGATGAAGAATGTTAAATAATTAAACTGTTCTTGTTTCTGTGAAAAATTCTGTCTACGCATAATAAGCGGTAAATACAAGAGTAGCACCCGAGGGTGATAATCGGCCTGCAAAATGAAGCCCTCGGGCATTATTCATTTCAGGGCCGATTATCCCCTTCCGGTCCATCTTTGGCATGTACTAATGTGTATACACTTGATCTAAAAGTATTACTGGCTCTGTACTGTACAGTAACTTTTTCAGAGTTGTCTCTCATAAGTGTATACCAAGTCCACTAGAATCAAGAAACAAGTTTTATTTTCTCGGAATAAAACAGTCGTATTTTTCTTTTATTTGTATTAAAAAACAAAATATGTGTTTGCACAAATAACCCTGAAGTTATAATCATTAATACCAGCGATCTGTGCTTAAAACCGTGCTTTCTTTTTAGAGCCAGCTACAGTTTTGCACGTGCTTGTGTTCAGCGGGCCTATTATGATTATAATGTTTTTTTGGCCCGATCAGCAAATCCATGATCAGTCTCTGACACTTATAATTTGTTGAAATCATAGGCAATTGTGTTACTTTATCTGATCAGGATCCATGCTGTTCGCTATTAGTTTCTCTACTTGTAATAGAGTTGGTAAGCGAACAGCATGGATCCTGACCAGACTGCGCGGATGCGCAGGCTGGTCTGGATCCATGCTGGTCGCAAAGCGATTATGTTGGTTTTGTCATGACGCGGCTCAAATGCTATGATTCTGGTGTCTCAAAGATTACCTGGTCACTTCCATGCAAAGTTCACTCAGATGCCTAGCTATTTGGTTTTCAAGTTAAAATAACCAAGCTGACTCATTAACGAAAAATTGACCCTTATAAGGTTAGTATGTTGCACTTAAATTGGTCTATAAATTGAAAATATTTTTGCTTTGTTCAAAGCACATCATATGCTTCAAACTATAATTTACTTCTTCATTGAAAAAATGACCATAGCTAAAATAAATGTTCAATTTATTCCGTAATTAATCCCCTTATAAAACAACAAAGACATAAGCGCCCAGTCCTGAACTTTCTTGCATGTGATACATAGGGAAGCTCCATCGACATTTCTGTGTTTTATTTACTTATCTGCAAATTTATACTGTATATAGAACCAAATCTCATTACAAAATATACAAATCTTAAGAGTCAAATTTATATCATTGAAGTTGCTAATTTGACATGTTTACTGGTTTTCATTTCACGCAGAACTGCTTACATTTAAAATAGATTGAGCTTATCATTAATAATTTATCGAAAATAAAGTTAAAATCTATATTTGCAAGGCGCAAACAATTACAGTGCAAAGAGCACAAGTTGAATTAAGTTATTTCACTTGCAAAATCAGATTAAAAATATAATATAATACGATTAAAATTGTTCACGTGGTTGAACTGCATCTACAACTTATAAAGACCTCTCGGCAGAATTAAAAAAAAAAAAAATTCATTATTCCTAAAGATATTCTGAATATTAGAAATGTTAATTCAACAAACTTTTCATCAAATAACCAAATGGGCAATAATAAGGACATGCCATTTTCAGGTTAAATTATCTCTTTTTTTATAGACAATAACACTAAAAAATGGAAGCTATTAACCAGAAACACATATTTGTTGACTGCTCTTTATTTCAAACTGTCAATTACAAAATTAATCTTATTTACTTCAAATTAGTTCAATGATGAAAATATTTGTCTTAAACATTAAAAAAGAAAATGTTTAGAATTTGTTATTTTTCAGAATTATCACACGTAATTGCATTTCTACAGACATTTTTGCCACGCTTTATCCATGAGAGGGTAATATCATGCAATGATATCATAGCTGAAATTTATTTTTTATATTCAATTCATTTGTTTTATTTATTGAGGTCTTTTCTTGAGAATTCCATTACAACACTCGTACATTTTAGCATCGAACACACGTGTTCCACAGCACTGTGGAAGCTCGCCAGTCATAGCCTTAACTACTCCACTGCAGCACAAAAACTTGTCGGCATCATACGAATCACACCCGCAACATTCCGTGTTCGAGCCCATAAACGGCTGCACACGACCATCGCAACAAAGTTCTGTATCACCGTTGTATGGATATGGACCGCAACACTTTGTATTATTCCCAACATTTTCTTGAACCATTCCATTGCAACAGCTGTGAGTAGCTTTGTCATACATTTCACCGTCACAGCAGGCGACATCACTTCCGGTCCGATTAAATAGGAAGCCAGCACAACAGATAGTATACGCGTTGTCGTAAGCAGTATCTGCACAGCACTTCGGCTCCAGTCCCTTTCTCGGGAACAAATCTCCTCGACAGCAAATTGAAGACACTGCATCATAACTTTCTCTTCTACAGCAAGATGGGCTAACCAGACCGATCTTGTCAACAACTTTATCAACGCAACATAAATGAGTTGCCGCATCATAACTAATAAACTCACAACACATTGGCTCAAGTCCAAAGCGTGGCTGTACTGAACCATCACAACACATCGATTGAGCTGCATCATACGAAGCTGTACCACAACATTCAGGACTTTTTCCGAATCTCTTTTGCACTTGACCAAGACAACACAATTCTGCCGCAGCATCATATGATTTTGACCCACAACATTGTGGTTTCGAACCCTCCTGTTCATTAACGACTCCTTCGCAACAAATGTGTGTGACCGTGTCATATTGCTCAGCTCCGCAACATGCAGATGTATTAGTTTTCCTTGTAACTGTTATATTTTCGCAGCACAATGACTGTGTTAAGTCTATAAGTACATTTCCACAACACATTGGAACAAGTGACTTTTTGATGCTTCTTAATCTGTTGTTGCAACACATAAAATGAGTCTCGTCATATGCACTACGTCCACAGCACGTGGGTTTTGCACCCTCTCTTTTTTCTACTCGACCTTCACAACATTGATAGTGGGCAACGTCATATGCTTCACGGCCACAACATTTAGACATGGCTCCTTTCATATTCTTAACTTTGTCCTCACAACATAACTGATAAGCACTGTCATAGGCTTTAGTGCCACAACATTTCGGTTTTGCTCCGTCAGCTTTAGCTAGTCTCCCCGAACAACACGTATGAGTGGTAGCATCATACATTTTGGGACCACAGCACTTTGGATCCTCACCCTTCTTTGCCTTCACCGTGCCGTTACAACAAAGTTGAGTTAAAGAGTCATATCGCTTTGTGCCACAACATCTGCTGTTTGTCCCCATCATACCTCTTACAACTCCATCGCAGCATAATTGCTTGGTCCCATCGATCAGCGTATCGTTGCAACATCTTGGTTTTGTTCCGACCTTTTTGAAAACTTTGCCCTTACAACATAATTTAAGAGCGGCGTCATATGCTGAACCGCCACAGCATCGTGGTATCAAGCCTTTTTTCTTTTCTACTGACCCTTTACAGCACATGAACTTACATTGAGCATATGTCTCATTTCCACAACATTTCGTATCTCCATCGTCTCGTTTATGAAGAGTGCTTTGGCAACATATTTTTTTAACAGCATCATAAGAAGCTGTTCCACAGCATAACGGTTTATCTCCACTCTTCTTGCTTACAACCCCTTTACAGCACATCTCTTTTGTTGGGTTGTAACTGTCATTTTTACAACATTTAATTTGAGTGTTGATTCTTCCTTGTAAGTTTCCGCCGCAACAAAGCTGCTTAGAAGCGCAATAGCCTACTGCTCCACAACATCTTGGTAGCTTTCCTACTTTCTCCTGAACCGTTCCTTTACAGCATAATTGCTTAGATGCATCAATTGCTTCACTACCGCAGCAGTGAGGTAACTCTCCAGATTTCTTTATAATGTTACCTCTGCAGCATAGATAATATGCTGCATCGTAGCCGTCATTGCCGCAACATTTCGGTAGCGTGCCGTTTCGTGGGCTAACTTTACGGTTGCAACACATGTATTTAGTGGCATCATAACTCTGTTTACGGCAACATCGAGTCATCACTCCCTCTTTCTGTTGAACGGTGCCATCGCAACATAGCTGATGAACTGGGTCATACTGACTGTTTCCACAAGTTACTACAGTAAAAATTACAATCAATAATATTTTTTATTTTCTGAACGTGATAGTGTTTATGAAAAGCAGAAGAATCTTATTTTTTTTAATCAATGTCTACCAAGTAAACATACAAACAGAAACAATGTTCTTCTTATCAATTTTACACAGCGTATCTGTTGTAATACAAAATAATGTTGCAATTTTATAGATTTAAAATCGCCTAAGCCGGTGCAAGAGGTGTGGAAGATGTTGCACTCATGAAACAGAGTTTGCAATTTATCATCGTTGTTTTCGAAAGATGACATTTTTCCACATTTTAATAATTCGCGCATTATACTAGTAAGTTACATAAAATGAGATTAATCAAACCGGAAAAAAAATCTTAATATACATTTTTTTCAAGACTTATCATGGTTTAAAAACTAGAACACAAAAGGCATATAATAATTCAAGTTAATTTCAACACATAAGAAAAATGGTAATAATAGTTTTAATTCTGCCAGGGACTTTGGTTTATTTTTCAGATAAGGATCGTCGGTGACTTGACTCAGGTACCGGCTCATGCCTGAAATAATGTATGGAGGGCACCGAGTAAAGCTGAAATGTACTAAATTGAAAATATCTGGAAAGAAAATAGAACAGAAAGTACTCAAATGACCCTGGGAGAAGCGGAAAAATCTCTTGAAGATAATCTTTTATTTCAAAAGGACACTAATATTTATATTGCGCTTTTAAATAAAATAAATACCAACCAACCAACCAACCAACCAACAAGCAAACCAACAGAATAAACGAGGTGTTTACGTACAGAAAGAAAAAGCAACAACATATAATAGAAAAATCCTATTTTTTTTCGTTTGAACTATTCCATTTAAGCTTTACTAAACACAATAATTAACCATATCAAAAATTTTTATAGCAAAATATATACTTATGTGAAACAATCAAACAAATAACTAATGATACTAGGCAATCTAAAAGTAGTACAAAGAGTTGCATGTTTCATAAAAAGAAAAAAAGGTTAAAAATCCTTTGATAACAAAATTCATTTAGTACTAGAAAACGAATACGTGTATATAAAAATGTATAAACAGGAAAACTATTTCGTCTAAACCTTTGAGTATAAGTTAAGGTTCCATCTAATCTGTATAAGCAAGTCTCAATGTTTGGCTGTATACGTGGATTCGGGTCTTTAAACTTTTGCGTTTTTACTTTAGAAAATATACCGGTATTGCATTTGAATTGAACCATTATCAATATATTTATTATCCCCCGCCGAAAAATTTCGGCGGAGGATATAGAAATAGTCTCCGTCCGTCCGACCTTCCGTCCTTCCGTCCGTCCGTCCGTCCGTCCGTCCGTCCTTCCGTCCGACATTTTTGTCCGGAGCATATCTCTAAAAGTATTTGAGGTATCAACTTGAAACTTCATAGGTGGATAGACCTCATTGAGGAGGATGCAGTGCACAAGAATGATAACTCTACCTTGCATGATTTTTTGAGTCGTCGGTGACTTGACTCAGGTACCGGCTCATGCCTGAAATAATGTATGAGGGCACCGAGTAAAGCTGAAAAACGTACTAAATTGAAAATATCTGGAAAGAAAATAGAACAGAAAGTACTCAAATGACCCTGGGAGAAGAGCGGAAAAATCTCTTGAAGATAATCTTTTATTTCAAAAGGACACTAATATTTATATTGCGCTTTTAAATAAAAAAATACCAACCAACCAACCAACCAACAAGCAAACCAACAGAATAAACGAGGTGTTTACGTACAGAAAGAAAAAGCAACAACATATAATAGAAAAATCCTATTTTTTTCGTTTGAACTTTTCCATTTAAGCTTTACTAAACACAATAATTAACCATATCAAAAATTTTTATAGCAAAATATATACTTATGTGAAACAATCAAACAAATAACTAATGATACTAGGCAATCTAAAAGTAGTACAAAGAGTTGCATGTTTCATAAAAAGAAAAAAAGGTTAAAAATCCTTTGATAACAAAATTCATTTAGTACTAGAAAACGAATACGTGTATATAAAAATGTATAAACAGGAAAACTATTTCGTCTAAACCTTTGAGTATAAGTTAAGGTTCCATCTAATCTGTATAAGCAAGTCTCAATGTTTGGCTGTATACGTGGATTCGGGTCTTTAAACTTTTGCGTTTTTACTTTAGAAAATATACCGGTATTGCATTTGAATTGAACCATTATCAATATATTTATTCGATTTGTAATAACAGATGTATCGTGTAAACAAATTCAATATAAGGGCGAAGTGGCAAAAGGCTAAGGTATCTTCCTCTCATATGAAATTGATATGGTTAATGTTGAATTCTGGTTAAGCTGGTGCTGGGGAGCATAAACGGTAGTTCGCACTTGACAGTATCGTCCATGAACAGGCTCAATCAAACCGAGCCTGCAACATTTTCAATTGTGCCGTGTTGGGCTTTCTTTAGGGATTCTTATTTCCTCATTTTACTTATCTTTTAGAAATCCTACAATATGATATTTATATGGCTTATTTATTAATTAAAACCCTATTATATAAAATTTATATGGCTTATTTATGAATTAAAAACCTACTATATAAAATTTATATGGTTTACTTATCTATTAGAAAACCTACAGTATTACAATTATATGGCTTGTTTATTGATTAAAAACCTACAATATAAAATTTATATGGCTTATCATCCTACTTAAAATCAACAATACGCAATTCAAGGAAGCTTTTATATAAACAAGTCAGACATTGGTCTATTCAATTGTCATAAAAACGCTAATATAACTAATAAATTCTGTAACATTATTGATATAAGCTCTTTATAAGATTACGATTTGACATGTACTCAAACATATGCTGCATCCAAAATAATTCAGGTACACACAGCAAACAGAATAATCAATTTTTATGCTTTACACTAGTTATCTTTTTTTCAAGCTTTTTGAGATGAAACTAGAGTTACAAGTTCATGCCATTATGTTGAAAAAAAAACGCATTTAATATAACAAATACATGATATCAAAATATTGTAAACGTTGTTTTTTTAAACTGTAAGAACTATTTATAGAATTGTGTCCTTCTAATTTGATTTAATTCAAGCAATTTAATTGGCTACATCAAAGCATTTGTTGTTGCTTAGTTTATGGTTTTCATGTTTTTTTGGTCTTAATTTTGAAGAAATGTCTTTGTGTCAACAAGAAACGACTGTAATTCAGTTATGAACATGTTAACTAAATTTGACCTTTGATCTAGAAAATGAAAAGGACTTGTATAAATTAATACAAAAAATACAAAAATAAATAAATAGATAAAACAAAACAATACAAAAAAAGACGATAACTGAGCTTCGACCTTCAAAATGTATTGGTTAGCAAGGAAAACGGCGCGTGGGTGGGCAAGCGGGGTTAGAGAGAATACACATGTAAAGCTCACAATCTTCACCAAGAATCAAACCTTCGTATATGACAATAAGGTTTTCAGGTAGATGGTTTTCTAGTATACATTAATCATCTCCATCCACAGTAATGAGAGCCATTTTGTGAGTCAATATACAACATATCGTCACCTTAACGCAATAACTGGTTACCTCCTATTAAATTTAGAAGGACTTAACCCTTTATTGCACCAATGTGACAATGATTATGCAATAGGGACAGTTAAAAAGACAATGAAATAACAAGATTAGCATGCTTCAAATTATTGGCACATGTAAACAATACAATTTTGCAACAATTGAATGTTTTAATCAACCGTCTATTTTAATAAAAAGAACTCTTGTATGAATCTTAAGCATATGAACCTCAAAGTGGCTGTCATGGGTGTTTATGCATGGTATATAAAACACAACTATACTTACTCGTAACTCCTTCTTCTGTTTGCATTAAAATATTAAACTATTCATAAGTAAACAGATCTTAACATTTCAGTATTTATATTTCATTTTATTATATCACAATATATGTTTACAACAAAATAATAATATTGTGAACATTGGCAGCACAAGGCATATACGGACTTTTTCAGTGAATTTATGTATGATATACATGCCAATGTTCTGTGTTTAGCTATGCCAAAATCAGAATTTGTCTATCGTTGTGGTTATTTAGATAAGCCCTTCAAATTGGATCAAAAAATATTTTGGGGACGCTGATTAAGTTATAGTAATAAAAACAGTCCAAATCGGTTCACCACCATCATAAAGTCAACTTCGGAAGATAATTCTTTACAGTTATTGGACATTATTATTATATTATTATTAAAATCTTCATGAGTAGAATATAGATTTTTCAAATGCTATGTTTTAATGAATCAAAGGTAATGCGTATCAATGTTTAGGTACAAAAAATGACATGTCAATATTTACTGCCATAAAGTCTTTGATTAGAATAGCACACGGATATATGAACAATAGATATTGTTTGTTTTTGTAAAGTGTCAAGCGCCAGTTTAAAAAACCTAATGGTTGCTAATCTCCAACGCCAGATTGAACTTTTTGTTTTTCAGTTATATATCAGTGGGCACCAACATATTAAGTGTTTCCAGTAAGTAATGACCTGTTTTTTCCATATAGTTTATTTCAAAAGGCACAAAAAGCATTGAAAATATTGTCATCAAACGAATTCTTCATAAAGTAAAACACAAATCTCCGGTGGCATATTTTGTACATATTCATAAAGAATGATAAAACTTGGTGTAATCGGTAAGTTATTTTGTCAAATATAACCAAAATCAGTAGGGCTGGGAATGAATAATTCGAATATTTAGATATTCGAATATCGGCAAAATATTCGAATATGACGTTCCGAATTGAATATTCTTTTTAAAAAAGTGTTGTTTTCTTAATTCTTTTTCAAAATGTATTTTAAGACCTTGATCTACGCATTGTGCAAGCGCGTGTGCTTTTTGTGTGTCATAAATTGTCCAAATAACAAGGAAATTACCATGTTTAATTGGCAGTGGTCATCGGTCAGTCACGATAGCTTAAAACATGTGTAAGTTAGTTTGGTATTTTATCGGTAGCAGAGTAAGTTACTGATTACTAACGTGAGTATCATAATTATGCATACAAAGTTGGAGGAATGACGACCAAGCAGCTAAGCTGGTTCAGTCATCCGAGATTAATATATGTTAACTGTTAAACGCATTGTTCCGGAAAGGGTACAACATTTCCACGCGGCTCGCATCGGTAGCATATGTTGGCAATAGGATAGCCACGTATTTTTGGAACAAATCCACTCCCGCAAAATACAAAGACTATGGGAAGTTCATCAACCTTAAATATTTTCTCTAAAGCAGTGTGTCACAACACATAAAAACATTCTAGATAAAATGTTTGTTTGACTGGTATGACGCCGATTTTAACATGGTTTTGGTCATATGCACGTCCATCTAACCGGCCTTTCCGGATAACTAACTTGTTACTAAATACTAATTTCTCCGAAAGTGACCGGCTACTAAACCCATGAGACCTCAGATGATTTCTGAATTAGCTGTGAGGGACAAACGACCATTAGGATCAATTATCACGGAGAAATTTCGCCTCACCCGAGGATTGTAAATCAAATTAATACTCTCCCTATTGAGCGAAGCGGACAGATCTTTCAAGTAAATAAATACAAAATAAATAATAAATGCATACATAATGAAAAATGATGAGAATGTGCCATGGTGACCGGACCTTTATTTTCCTTGATTTAGTGCGCGTTTTTATGATATTATTATTACAATACGGAGATAAGCTGATAAAATAAGCACGCGATAAAAAGTCGTTATGTAAATGTATAAAATGTTGTTATTCAACTGAGTAATGAAATGGTATTATTATTGTTGTTGTTGTTGTTGTTGTTGTTGTCATCATTGTACAATGTATTTTAAGGGCCGTAAATGACTTAAAAGGTTTAAGGGGGGCTAAACAAAATCCATATGTTCTTAAAGCATTTTCGAATGGATGAAATCAAAAGCTAGCATATACAAGTAAATATAATATCCAACTTTTGCGTTGGAAATGTAGATGCATTCATGCAAGTATTTATATTTTTTTAGGACTCGAGTCTCAGACTGCTGTAGAAAAGTGTTAATGTACGCTATCAATTCATCGCCAAAAGCTATGTTACATGATTTATATAACATCCATTTCTGATGAATGTTATTTGTCAATGAATATGCCTTATGTATGTAAACGCGCTTTAGCAAATTTTAGATACCGTGGCTATGACTTGAAAATTGAATCAGAAAGGCACTTTTATATTTACAGAGTATTTACAGAGAATTAAGATTTTGTTTATTCTGTCTTACACGTAATGTTTATATCGTTGAAAAGGAAGTGCACTTTTTGATTGACTGTCTTCTTTACAACGACCTCGGACTTTAGTAACTGGAATTATATTGTAAACAGCAATGAAAAAAGCTTTTTTGCAATTGTTAATTCCGACATACATTTCAATTCTTGCTACATTTGTTGAAGCAACTGTTTCTTTATATTATGTAAATTTGTCTTTTTGTTGAAAAGAAAACCGTAAAAAAGAATATTTATCTCTTGAACACACTGATATTTGAAATATGTAAATTATATGCTTGACTTAACATTGCCTTTTTATCAACATGTTACTAACTTGTTAATATACTCCTATGTTTGTATATATTTACATCACTCTTTGATGAATTGAAAACTTGATCGTATTATGGGCTTGAGGCCTTATATTACGAATAAACATATTGTCATAGTTTAAAATTCGCGATTTGAAAAAAAAAATCATGTTTAATTTGAAAAAAAGTTGAGAAAAGAAATTGACCGAAAGTCTTACCAAATATAGGAGTCTGACAGGTGTGTCCACATCCATTAGAGCAGCATTTTTTCTGCTCCGGACAACTCATGTCATCTGAACATTCTTCAATACATGCGCCAAGACCTTTGGCTTTAGGGCATAAGCCAGGTTTTTCTGAAGATAACAAAAGCAAATTTAAAGAAATAAGATAGCTAATTCGTCAGGAAATACGCGCGTCACAAATGCCCAGTCTTATTATAGTTAACGGTTACATTAAAATTCAACATAATGACTAGATGACCAAAATTTACATTTTCACATCAGACATCGAACCTTTACACGTGACGTTCACCAGAAGGCGTCACTTTGAAGAATATGTGTGTCAAGTTATATAACAATATCTCTACGAATGCTGATGTTTCACTTGGGACAAGATTTTTACTCTGCCCTCTTAGAGTGACATTGACATTTGAATCGGAAACGCGCAAGACACTTCATAATTTGGGCTGAATATATATGACAAGAAACACATCGATTTCTGTTAAAGTTATGCTCAGGACAAAATAATGACATTTCATCATCTCTGGTAACTTTGACCATGTAAATATAGACCTTGATTATGCGAGGAAGCGTAAGTCTCATTTCATGACAATTTTATATACACATGTATAGTTCTTCAATTTAATACTGCAAAATGTTTTCTTTTTTATCTTTGACATTTGTGTACCTTAGCCACTGTGTGCGGCATTAATATCCAAGTCCCTAGAAGTTTTGCTCCGGACAAGTGTGACCTTAACCTTTGACTAAATACACAGTTTATGCTCTCTACATAAAAACTCGTGGTAGTGACCATTTGTATCAGCTTATACTAAAACCCTTCCGTGCATGTAAAAGATATAATTCGGACAAAAGCTGGATATTTCATAATATCTGGTGACATGACTTTGCATTTGTGTACCTAGATTATGTTGGAAAGATACAGTCACCTATGAATGTGAACATTTTCGATATAATTTCATAATTCAATTATCCACAACTGTCCTTACGCAAATATTTGTATTTTTAATGTGACTTTTGGCCTCGCAACATGTATGTTTTGGACAAAACCGGGCGCTGGCCAACCGCCCATCCACAATGGGTGATCCCATTATACAATCCCATTCATTGTAAAAACGGGCCTATAAAATAAAAAAAAAACGAAATCCTTGCAGAACTTAAATAATTTTAACTCAGACATTTATTTGTACAATGCCTTAACTTCAAATAAATTGCAAATAAAATAATTCTTATTTCCAACAGTTTAAAGGAAGTCATGATTTCCCTGATAAAATGGCATACTTTAGATATTAAATGAAAAAAAAAAGTTTTAAAAATACCAAATTGAAAATAACAACCATTTAAGGAAGATTTTGATTTTTAAATTTTCTTTCAAAAAATATTTTAGGTTTCCAAAAACTTTACATTTTAAATTGGTTAAGAACATGGATGATGATTTTATCAAATTAAAAAAAAACAGGAACTTTCTAACATATCATCCAAAACGTTGTGGCTTTTGTTAAGAATAGTTGTTTTTGCAACCTTTTTGTCTAAGAATATTTGTATTATATTGGTATATGAATCAACAATACACCAAATAAGAATACTTTATTTTTTTATTGGAACAAAAAAACCCCCACAAAAATGTACTCCTATATACACATTTTTTTTCTTCAAATTAGTATATTTTTTTCTTCCATTGCAAATTGCTGTTTTATATTTATCTTTGTTCTTTATTTTTCACCATAAATTAACTTGTATGTATGAAATGAGTTACTGGGTTAAACGTAAGTATAAACATACATTCAGTTACAAAAAGGGTAATATGAAATCTCCTTAAACGTGAAATGAAGAAACGCTAAAGGTCAGCCAACACATTCAAATGCAAAATTTTGCAGGCCCGTTTTTATTGAGCCTGTTCATGGATGACTACTTAATGCAATTTTCCGTTCATGTCCCGTAACAGATAATTATTTTTAATTGTACACGATATGTTAGTTAATTTTGTTAAGCCATAGTCTATGTTGATAATTAAAGGGTTTAAAAGCCTAAAAACATAACGTTTGAATTTCTTACATAAAATAGCTGGGGCACTTTAAACAGAAATATATGTAAAGATAGTTAAGAAATGTACTTTGAAATAAATCAATAATCGTATTTTTATGCTTTTCTAAGCCCGATTTGAGTGAAAAGCGTTTAAACGTTTTTCATTTGAGTCATTTGGGTCACAATTTGAATAAATATTCTGGAAAAACGAAGTGCGAGAGTGATCTGAAATTTTGCACAAAGATTAGTGGTCTAAACCTTCATCAAATGGTACATTAATCTGGAAAAAAATATTTTCAGTCCCATCATGTCAAAAATCCTCAGTGGAGTCCCTGGTTTGTCATCTTTTTAATATATTTATTGCGTTGCATTTGTAAATTTGTAAATCAGAATTTTATACCTTGTATATAAACATAATGTACATGAAGAGATTTTATACTGTAAAACATATGTGGTGACTTGAATACCCATCGTATATACAAATTACAATCATAAAGTAACAGATATCCTTTCTGCAAAAAATGGTTTTCATCGAAATATCACTTGGGTTCATCCCACCCCCTCCCCAAATACTAAAGTAATAATGTATTGAAATGAGGCATACGGCAATTTTTTCTTTTTACAAAATGTGTTTTTCCTGAAATGCTTTTCCAATAGCATGCATATCAATGAACAAAACAAAATTTCAGTTAATGACGAGTTGTTAGAAAACTTGAAATGTTGTAATATAGTTTCGTTAATACAAATTTATTTTAGTTCGATTGTGTTGTGTTAGAAACTATAAGCTTATTGAAACACTACCGAATCCGTTACTGGGACCAACAAGTACTTAACAATTTTAAAGGTTCTTGCTCAAGGAAACGACGGCTTGCCCTGACTGGGTTCGAACCCACGCGGCCAGCAATCCTTCGATTACTAGTCCGACGCGTTAACCGCTCGGCCTCGCCGCCACTTTGAAATGACTTGATATGCAGATTCGACTTTGAAAATGATTATTGTGAACAAGTTTTCCGCGCGTTTCAATTGTTCAAATTCCGTGTTATATACATATTAAAAATTAAATTCTGCACAAATCATCGGAAATATCTTGAAATAGTGACCCAAACTTATACTACAATTTAACAACACAAATTTAAAGTAAGAATAGTTTACCGTCTACACAATGCACAGTTGCAAGGAATCCAAAAAGAACGCATAGCAGAAAATGCCGTTCCATTTCGAAGATTTCATGCGTGTGGTTTCAGCCGGTATTATTCATTCTGCTTATATATATCTATGTGAAAACATAACGCTAATCGGGCATGTGTTTTGTTCCTTGTGGCGATTGATTGAGAAAATCCCTCCGAGGATTAGAGGTGATTTGGTTGTTGTTCGGCGGCGACATGTGGCACAACTGAATAATCGCCAGTAAGTGGCAGTTTACATCTCATACGCATGTTTCATGTGGCAGTAAAAAGTATCAATTAACATTATATAATCGAAGAAAAACTAAAATTAATAATAAGCCCGTAGTTAGGCGAATGCGATTTGGAAAGAACAAGTATAATCTGTCCAGAAAAAAGCAGCAAATTCGTAGTTTGAACAACTTGTGGTGCATTTAGCTAACACATAAACAGTGTTGCACGCAGTAAACACTATAATAATTATTTATGGGTATTATACCATTACCTGTGCATCAACCACGTGATCAATATTGACCTTGACCAATGCTTCATCGATTACATGCTTTATCAAGATGAGCCAAAATCCATTAACTGAATCATAATCCTAAGGTCAAACAACTTTAACTAAAAATATCATGCCACGATGACCCAAAGACAATTATTAGCAATTTGACATAACAAGTTCTATTTAATTTATTTTTTTAAATATCGACGGATTTAATAAATTTTTAAAGTTTTTAATTTTTCTAAAAAATTTTCCTTTAAATTTTTTAATAACCGTTACAACGAATAACCCAAAGAAAATGTAAAATGGACTCAAGACCACAAAGAAAAACAGAAAAAAAATATACGGACAAGTCGTTTGTTAACAAAGATCAATCCATTATAGAACAAGGGACATGTGAAATCTAACAGTTTAGGAGAAAATATATTTCATTTGAAAATATGCATGTAACCATACCGGAATCCAGTCTGCAGTCAACCGAAATCCAGACTGCAGTCTACAAAAAATCCAGGCTGCAGTATACCGGAATCCAGGCTGTAGTATACCGGAATCCAGGTTGCAGTATACCGGAATCCAGTATGCAGTCTACCGGAATTCAGTATGCAGTCTACCGGAAAACAGGCTGCAGTCTCCCGGAATCCAGGCTGCAATCTACCGGAATCCAGGCTGAAGTCTATGACAAATGCTAGATACAGGCGATTAGTATCACATGTTTACTGACCGGTCTCTCGCGGTTTTGAATTCAACTGATTATGTGACAATGCAAATAAAAAGGCTTATTTTAACTAAAATGAGTGTTGACAACGTCGTTTGGATGAAAAAATAATTAGCTAACAGGAATCATTTCTCAATATCATTTATCAAAATACATAAATAGGCCTTTTGAATATTAATGGAATACAAAATGTAATTTGTTTCTTTTTATTAATGCATTTAAGGCACATTATGCTTCAAAATCATTTTTGTTTTCTTTCTTTAAAAATGGCAAGAATGGTTTTTATAACAAGTAAGTAATAATCCTAGTTCATCTTAAATGTTGATCATCTGAAGAAAGTAGCACTGAACATGAAATTATTTGTAACAAAAGTAGCAAATGTAAACAAAGCAGTACTTTGTGACTTCCATACAAAATTCTAAATCATTGTAACTAAATTAATTGCCAAAAGGCAGCAGAAGCAAAATTAATGATGGTTCATGTAATTCGCCAATGAGTAACTTTAAGGAAACTATAACTGTACACCAAAAAAAAAAGTCTTTGGGAAACAAGAATATAAGCATTTACGGGACGTAATGGGCCTTTAAATAAATAAAAATATATAGAATATTTGAATATATTTAAAGATACAGTGTACATTTAATTGATTTGACATAATTAATATATAGATGGTTCCAGTGGTATACTGTCCTAGGATTGAAAAGAAAAAATTTATAATAGTCTGAAGTGCCTGTGAATAACCTATGACGTGATGTTCGGGAGAAAGGATGTCACATATTCTTTCTATGAGGATAACAACCAGACCATGGTGAATCTTATAGAAAAGGGATAACCTAGCATCTATACGTCTGAGTTCCAGTTTACGAAACTTTTAAAAAGGGAGTGGAGCATGTTCCGTGACGCTAGAGGTCTGACCATAATCTAGCTTTCCATCCATCGGGCTGCTCTTCTTTGGACATTTTCAATTTGACCTATTTGTATTTTTGTGTGGGGAGACCATACTTCGGAACCATATTCAAGCTGGGGTCTGGCTAACGTCTGGTAAGCGATGGACTTAATGGATTGGGATTTAACCTTTATGTTTCTGCGTAGGAATCCTAAGGTTGGCTTGCTTTCTTTGATGTCCTGTTTATGTGTGGGCATCCCATGTATGGTTTTCTGATATATTCATGCATCAATTGGTATTTAGCTGAGGTAACGATTCTAATTGGACTCAATGAAGTAGTATTGTGTTGGGATAGGATCCGATGTTTCCTTTTTGTGAGGCAGATAACTTGACACTTGGAGTGATTTAAATTCCATATCCCACTCCAACTCCACTTTTCTAACCAAATTTAAGGTCATTTTGGAGGATGACTGATTGTTTGCAGATGTCAGGGCAATGTATATTGCAGTACCGTCTGCAAACAAGCGAACCTGGGAATTTATGTTCGTAGGGAGGTAATTTCTTTAAAGAGAAACAGGAGGGGTCCTAGAACTGAGCCTTGGGGGACACTGCGGATACTGGGAAGGGTTAGAGAAGCTGCCAATTAGCACAACAGACTGCAGTCTGTTATCTAAAATCTTTTGACCGATCTTAAAGTAATTTTTACTGAGGTGACCAGGTCATTTGTCAACATAACAAGTTGCGTAACACATGACCTTTTTTCCCTGAAACCATGTTGGAGTTGGTAAAGGATGTTATGGTTGGTGAGGTTTAAACAATGGAAGGGGAAACTATGTATTCCATAACCTTACACAAAACACAATCATGTTGGACATACATTTAGTACTCCGAAACCTGAAAATTAAGATTTTTCACATTGGTAAGTTTGCATGTGACACCGCTTTCAAATTCGCATGTGAAAAATGGAAAAAACAACAGAAAATGAAACTAAAACGGAGTTCGAAGAAGTAAAGAATGATGACAGTGTAAAACTTGAAGATACAAATGCCGAAGATGGTGAAACACAAAAGAAGAAGAAAAAGAAACGGAAGAAGAAGAAAGGTTTTCATTTTTCGCTTTTTTGTTTACCGATCTTCGGGATACGTGTGATAATTCGGACAAATTTATATAGTTCGACTTCGAGATATCCGTGCGGACATCTGTTCCTATGTTATTTAAGACAAGATGTTCAATAAATTTGACTTTTGTTCAAGTAAGATTTTAAGAGACAATATTCATTAAATTTGTTGTTGGGAGCGTGAATTGAATGAGCACGTCAAAAGTTTTGTAATAAGGTAGAACTTTACAATTACAGTAATCAGTATTTATTTATCGGGAACAAGACACTTCACCTCCAGTCATTTCAAACAATCGGCTGCAGTTCCCCACCAAACACGTATGTTTTCCCCCCTTAACAGAGGTAAATGTTCCCCTCCAAACAAATAAAAACTAACAGAAAAAATGAAAAAGTTATGCTTTTTTGGACAAGTGAAACTGATATGAGTTTCACAGCCTTTTGTCAGGGGAATATTGTACAGTACGGCTTAAACAATTTTTCCAAAGTTTCCTGATGTTGGTCAAGCCTGACGTCTAATAGTTATTGCTCATAAACGCGTAGCATTTTGAAAAATTAAAAAAATGTCTGTTGACTTGCCTTTCAAGCTTTATTCAAAAGCTTATATTCTGTTCTTTCAATTGCATGGTCTATCATTAACAAAAACTTTCAAACAATGTACTTATTAATTAAAAATAAAGTATAAATATCAGTCTATTTTGCTCATCGGCCATACTGGTTAAGTAAGGCGTTTTACAGATTGATTCCAATTTTTTGAACGGAAAAATATATTCGAACACACTGACGGTGCATGGGAAATTATTTCGTTGGAAAAATATTCCGTTAGAAACTTCTGGACTCATTTAAACGCTTGCATTTGAATTAGCCAATCAGATTTCGCGCACTGTATGGCGGCCATTTGTATATCAGCTGTACAAGGAATTTAATTAAATGAGAGGATTTAATCATGACTTTTCGGATGTGACAGTTCAATAATTTTATTAAAAGGTATTCATTTTTTAGTTTTGTTCATAAATAGGTCAAAATTAATGTAAATACACGCTGTTTTAATTGTTTAAATTCATTAGATCTAAATCGATGTCTAATGTCATTTTTTTTGCTACACAATTTTGCAAAGATCTGTTAAGACCTAACGTAACATGGAAAATGAAAAATGTAAAATATCAGATTAATGAATGATAAATATGAAATAGGTTACGTATAGGTCTTATAATTAGGACTAGCCTATTTTCCCCTATCCCACAGGTCCAAAGATGGGCCCCATACCCCATCCAAATTATGTTTTTTTTTCCAATCCAAAAAAAACATTCTTCGGCAATTTGAAAGAAAAAGTAACGCATTTTCAATTTTGGTGTCGCGAAATAGCCTTACGGAATATATTTATGTTTTGTGAATAAAAACAGGATTTTTAATAAATATCAGTTTAACATTTGTACACATTTTAGCCTGTCCTTGAATTTTTGATATGACAGAAAAAGCCGAACTGTTTAAGTAAGATGTATTTAGATTTATTTTAACAATTGTAACACCTTGAATGCTAGCATATTTTCTCAAATTAGAAAATTTCATGAAGACTTTTTTTCCAAAATTTGACATGTGGCGTTTTCCCAAAATAGAGGAAAAAGGCCTGCTGTGATGTCCCTGCAATAGTTGTAATTTTCCGCTCATCACCTGATCGGTTGAAATTCATGCTGCGGGATATCGTCACCATGGATTGCTTGAAATGTTGCACAATAGCACCATTTATACATAAACTTAAAACACAAGCTTTGTTTCCGGGTTTGGTTCATTAAATTTGTGTATGAAAATTTCCAGCGGTCGATTGCATCGGCCAGGTTCTATTGCATCGATGAGTAGCTCTGAATTTTTTTTTAATCACTGCAAATGTAACAGATCTGTACTGTGACATATGACTGTTCTATCTAAAATATTGAATTGCAAAATGATTTGCCTTCACTTGAACAATATGCAACTCGGATACTGAGAGCATTTAATATCGGCTTGTATTCTGGCTGACCTTTGTGAAATGAAACATATCTTATACATTATTCCAGTGATCCTTTACTTTTGTTGATTTTCCACTCATCCTGTTGTATAATCAAATTACATTTTTCTACTCATCCTGCTATAGCTGTCATTGAATGATTCAAGGCAAGGCATTAATCAACGATATATCAGTATAGAATAACAAATATCACCGATACACCAATATATCGATAATTACCTAAAATTATATGTACTTGTGTGTCATTCACTTTTATACCTGTTTAAATGTTTTTCAGTTGAAAACATGTTCCGTTCAGTGGCTTGTTTATAAAGGACCATTGCATGATTTTTATCCAGACCATTTTTTTGTCATCATTGCTGTGAAATATTTCCACTATCTAACAACAGATAATGTTAGACATGGGTACCTGCTTCTGTATAAGTTTTAGGTGAATTTTCTTAATTTCTAAACTTAATAAATAAGTCTTCATACTGCCCCTTCCCATCAGTGAATGGAAAACTTTTTACTGTCAAAGTCACTTACATGTAGGCTATGTCCATGAAAATGTCATGTAAATGTAGGCACAGCCATTTTTAAGTAGGTCTAAAATTTTAGCAAAAGTTGTCACAAGGTTTTCCAAATCATTTAAATCATGGAGAAATTGATGAAAAGAAATGTCATTGATTAACATACATACACAACGATAACAAATTGGCTGGAACTTCTTGCCGACTAAACAACAAAACAATTTGCTATATCCCTCTCATTTGATATATAACCAGTGATTTTTCCCCCTGTATTTTACAGCTAAATAAAGGCTTATTTGACATAGCTCAAAATAGGTTTATTTTTCCCATAAAAATGCTAATTTTTTCTCTTAAAATGCCATGTGCACAATCATTCTTCATGAGAGCAACTAACTTTATATCAGCTTGAAGACAGAAAGCTGTCCCTATAGATTGCCTCTGTTATGTGCCATGCGTGTTAAATTGAATTGAATTTGAAAATTTTATCAAATGAGTCGGGGAAATTCCTTTCTCAGTGGTTTGGAGTTTCATTTTTCTGATTTGATTTTTTACATGCTATATTTTCCCCCTTGAGAAAGCCACAGGTTGTTTTGAAAATTGAAAAAAAAAATCACTGATGATACTACATGTATGTTTATATTATTTTCCAATTCTTTTAACATTGCTAGACTGACAGGACTATAAAGTTCTTTATATTTTTTATGCTAGTCTAATATGAATTTTAACTAGAATCGGGCTCCGGCTTTGTCCATTTTCTGTAGACTGGAACTGCCTTAATCATGGAAGGCCCCTTTAATAAAAGTGGGAAAAAATCTGTTTTACCTGCTACCATGGAAAATAATTGTTGCAAAAGTATTGTTAGCATTCATTGTTCATTCTAAACTGTGCCATTGCACCTGTAGTTCTCTAAAAATACAAAGGGGTGCAACTTTTTCTCATCAACAAGTATATCATGTATCACATTTTGGCAAGATTGAATATTTCTGTCCTTTAAGAACCATCTCTGCTTGCCAAAACTGTTTTTCAATGTGAAGTTTTAAACAGTTTTCACATAATTTATTCTGGTGAATAACTTACAGCCATTTTTGATCTTTTGTTGATAATATTTCAGAGATAATTACTCTCAGAGCATACATAGAGGAAAATTCAAATGACCGGTGTAGGTCAACATTCTGGTGCTGTATTGATTAAAAGATAGGTAAAGAGGAAATGCGTATATCCTGAAGACGTCAAATTCCTATTGCAAAATGACTAACAGGAAGTGAAGTATCCTGTTTTTTGTTTTGCGTGGTAATGATTTTTAACATGTATATTTACAGCTGATGATGAAGGCCAACAAGGGAGAGGGTTAACAATATCTCTGACAAAACTAGAAAATCAGAATATCATAGAAGGAGCTTGAGGGAGAAACTGCAGGTAAATATGAGAATAGTTAGCTATCTGAGGTCTAATCCTTCACCACTAGAAAATCCCAATCGTTATCACCTTATATAAAATGTGGTATTTATTAAAACACCTGTTAACTAGGGGTTGTCAAGTTTTATTTGTTTTAAATAGGTTCACATCAAGACAGGGACTTTTGGATTCTTTCATGTGAGGAAAGCTATCCAACTAGCTTACAGTAATGTCCAGTGGTTCTGCTCAGGTGCCCGTTTGTACCTGAAATAATGCACGGGAGGGCACCTGAGGTCTTCCTCCACCAGTAAGGCTGGAATGTCGCCATGTGACCTATACTGTATCGTTGTGAAAAAACCCAATCAAACAAACAAAATGAAGTTGTAAAATCGAAGAAAATGTATTTTTTTTACTTTATTGATATCAGTGTTATTGATTTTATCCAGAATATAATAGTGTAAGTACTTTATTTTGAATTTTAAAGATCCTGTATGTTTTGTGATTGATATTGTTACTGTGTGTATACCACACTTGCAAAAAATCATATATGTATATAATTATGCAAATAAAACAATTTTTCAAACATCAAACAATATGTAAATGTGTACTGCAAATATTTGTGCACATTATATTTAATCAATGAATAACATGCATTCATTTCTTATTGGAAAATTTGACTTAGAATTTATAGAAAGTAAATTTCTAATTACCTCCCTTTATTTACATGAAATGTTTAATTAGGTAATATCTTTATAAATAATGCTTATTGGAACTTACAGTAGTTTGACAAATCTTAATTTGAGCATCATATTTATGAAATAAAACCATGAAAAAATTGTGTTACAGCATCTTTAAGGCTTTAAAAATCTGTTGAAAAACTTGAAAAATTGTTAAACCTTGTTCAGAAAATTTGTGTGAACCAATATATATTAAAGATAATTGTGACTGACATTTTTCTATTTAGAAGGAGAAGATGGAGAGAAGAAGAAAAAAAAGAAAAAGAAGAAGAAAGGAGGTAATTGTGCACTCTCATAGTAAACCATGTAAATAAACGCATGCTTTTGTAATTTTTGAAATTTAATTGTTTGTTTGTTCTTTATCAACATTCATATGGTATACGATAAGGTCCATTATAATTCAGGAGTAACACCATTGTAACTTTATTGTCAACTTGACTGTAAGATTGATGTAAGGTTATATGTGGAAATTAATTTCCCTTACATTAATAACCGGTTTAAAGATATGCTACATGTATGCTCAAATTTGATACTTGAAAATGCAGGTAAAACTATACAGTATCTTGTAAAATAAAACATCTTTTTAGTACAAACTATTGAAAATTTTACATTTTAAATACTACACACTTAATGTAAACACATTATGATTACATCATGTCATTAAAAAGACGCCAGATTTTTGAAGAATTGTCTAAATTGACGACAAAAAATAGGGAACGTAGATTCCAAAACATAGTTTATGCATTCTGTTATTCAGATTAGACAGATTCAGTTAGAATTTTCTAGATTTGAATAAACTTCTGCATTTAAAGTAGGTAATAAAAGTATTTTACCCAAAGATAAGCATAGTATATCTTTAAGGTTGTCCTAGATTTTCATTATACTTTGCCGCACTACTTTTTTATGTAAATGGTGCTTTCTTATAGGTTAACCTCTGTGACGTTATTATTATCCCCCGCCGAAAAATTTCGGCGGAGGATATAGAAATAGTCTCCGTCCGTCCTTCCGTCCGACATTTTTGTCCGGAGCATATCTCTAAAAGTATTTGAGTTATCAACTTGAAACTTCATAGGTGGATAGACCTCATTGAGGAGGAGTGCAGTGCACAAGAATGATAACTCTACCTTGCATGATTTTTGAGTTATTGCCCTTTGTTATTTTTCAAAATTGATTTTTGTCCAGAGCATAACTCCAAAAGCCTATGAGATATTAACATGAAACTTCATAGGTGCATAGATCTCACTCAGGAGGTGTGCAGTGCACAAGAATGATAACTCTACCTTTCATAATTTTTGAGTTATTGCCCTTTGTTATTTTTCATACCTAATTTTTCACCTGAGTTGAGCATAACTCAAAAAGTGTTTGAGATATCAACATGAAATGTCATAGGTGGATAGATCTTATTGAGGAGGAATGTTGTGCGCAAGAATGATAACTCTTCCCTATACAATTTTTGAGTTATTGCCCTTTGTTTTTTTTCATGCTATTTTGTCCAGAGCTTATCTGAAAAAGTATTTGAGGTATCAACTTGAAACTTCATAGTTGGATGGATCTCATTGAGGAGGAGTGCAGTGCACAAGAATGATAACTCTACCTTGCATAATTTTTTAGTTATTGCCCTTTGTTATTTTTCATTCTATTTTGTCCAGACTTTATCTCAAAAAGTATTTGAGGTATCAACTTGAAACTTCATAGGTGGATGGATCTCATTGAGGAGGAGTGCAGTGCACAAGAATGATAACTCTACCTTTCATAATTTTTGAGTTATTGCCCTTTGTTATTTTTCATACCTAATTTTTCACCTGAGTTGAGCATAACTCAAAAAGTGTTTGAGATATCAACATGAAATGTCATAGGTGGATAGATCTTATTGAGGAGGAATGTTGTGCGCAAGAATGATAACTCTTCCCTATACAATTTTTGAGTTATTGCCCTTTGTTTTTTTTCATGCTATTTTGTCCAGAGCTTATCTGAAAAAGTATTTGAGGTATCAACTTGAAACTTCAAAGATGGATGGATCTCATTGAGGAGGAGTGCAGTGCTTAAGAATGATAACTCTACCCTGCATTATTTTTGAGTTATTGCCCTTTGTTATTTTTCAAAATTAATTTTTGTCCAGAGCATAACTCAAAAAGCCTTTGAGATATCAAAATGAAACTTCATATTTAGGATACTTTCCAAGACGGTAATTTGTCTTTCATCGCAAATTCAGAAATTGTGTGGAATCAGTAGCTGGTCAATTCCAGGAAAAAATTGCGATTACTTGTTATTTATCCAGGAAAGCTGGTTAGGAGAAGGATTGTCTAGATATGACTAAAAAATGTTTAAAAACCAGATAAATGAATAAACAAACAAACTTTCAAAGACTCATACCTCACTGTATTTTATGTCTTACAGAATTATGCCCCTTTCTTGAAGATGATATAATTTTTGTTTCAGGTACAAATAAGCAACAAACAGATCCACCGTCAATATCAATAGCAGAGCTGTATACAGATGGTAACTTCCCAGAGGGAGAAATATTGGATCATCCTATTGCAGCTAATGAGTAATTTTATCTCTACTTTTGTTCTTTGTTGTTGTTTTATTTGTTGCCCAACATATTACTTACTTGCCCATTTGTAGTATCATGTCTTTACAATGGCAGACTGATATTTTGTTTCAATTATTCCATTGACACTTTTTTTTCTCGTAAATTTTGCACATCATTTTTGAAGTAAATTATTATAAGTAAGTTATCTAGAAACATGATTTAAAAATACTGTTAATGGATGAGGCAGTGTTGGTTGAAGTTATTTGAAAGGAATGATGTCAAAATTTCTTGTTGGAGCGGGATGGGGGGGGGGGGCGCATCTGTGGCTTAGTGATTTAAGTCGTTAACTTTGAACCCCTTATAGTTGAGGCTTCAAATCCTGCCAGGGCCTTTGAATTCTTCCATGTGAGCAAGCTAGCTATCTACCATAGGGAACGTTTTGGTCCTATCAAGAACTGCTCACCTGAAATAATGCAAGGAAGGGCACCTGAAGTCTTCATGTACCAGTAAAGATAGAAAATCGCCATATGACCTTTAAAATTACGTCGAAATTATTTCTTCTGATTTTAAAATTGGAACTTGAAATCTGTTACAGTCAGACAGCAAAGGACAGATTCTCAAGTGAAGAAAAGAGAGCATTAGACAGGGCCAATACAGATCTTTATCAAGAAGTTAGATTAGCTGCTGAGGCACATAGACAGGTAAACAAATTAATCTGAAGGTCAAGCATACTTTTTTCCTATCATTTTGGAACAATTATAATCAGTGATGGTATAATTAGAAAGAACATGTGTTGCAAATTGTGAAAAAAAGTATTTGTAATGACATATTTTTACCATGTCTACATGATAACAGTTCAAACTTTGATTTTGCACTGAACTTCGTCACTAGGAAGTATGGAGTCTATTTGTAAAATGGCCTAACAGTTTCAAGTAATACAGGGTTGTTGGCCTTGATAGGCATTTTTTGCTTTATCTATTTTGATAGCAGTTTTATCATTAATTTGGCTAACCAATACTTGTTTGTAATCTTAGGTGTTTCCTGTTGCTAATTGGTGATGAATAAGTTTGAGATAGACAAGTACCTGGATACTTTAAATATATAGAGATAGTTCCTGATTTTTACAATATTTACCTCCCTTGCCAAAAGAAGCAGCCATGTTTGTGGTCGATATTCATGCAAACTTTTCTTTAAAACATAAAATCATTTTCATTTAATGAAATACGATGGGACCTCATTTCCAGTAATAAATTTAAATCATCCTGTACATGTACATGCTTTGTCTATTCAATGATCAAGATCTTAGAAATGATAAGACTTTGCTGAAAAAAGATGTAAAATAATGTAATGAGAGAAACAGTTAAATGTTATAGACATTAACTGAATATACTCTAGCAATACAGGGTACTTGTTATCATAAGGTGTCGGAAAATGGAAAAAAAATTGAGTTTTAACCGTCCCTCATTTTCAACACATTTATTACTTTTACAGACAAGACAGCATATGCAAAAAATAATTAAACCTGGCATGACTATGATTGAAATATGTGAAACACTGGAAGGGATATCAAGAAAGTTGATTGGTGAGAAAGGACTTGAAGCTGGTTTGGCTTTCCCTACAGGCTGTTCACTAAACCATTGCGCTGCTCACTACACACCAAATGCCGGGGACCCGACTGTGTTACAGTATGATGATGTTTGCAAGATTGACTTTGGAACACACATAAATGGTGGGATATATGTTGTGTGTTTGTTTTAAGAAGCAATTTCAAATCTACAATTCATTGATTTATTAATATGTAATGTCAAAACAAGCAAGATAAGTGTTAGGACAAAAAAAGAGAACCCCCCCCCCCCCCCCCAATAAAAAAAGGAAAAAAAAAACAATAACAAAAAAAACCAGAGAACTAAACTAAAGTTGTGTAAACCAAACATAAGTTTCATAAACAAAGTCAAAGTCTTGTTATCCAAACCAAAGTATAATGTCAAGTAAACCAGGTGGCAGATTAGCCATTAAGTCTGTACATATTATGAAATTTTCCCGAAATTGATGAACGGTTTTGTCCAGATTGAAAGATGGACATATCCATTTTAGATATTCAGTGTTGTAACTGTATTAACAAAACCTAGAAGCCCAGAAAACTGAGTCATAATACATATGCTCAAATGTAAAATGATTTTGATGAAAACCTCATAGTTTAAAAATTGGTACGCACATGAGTTATGATTAAGAAGTTTAACAGTTATTCTATATTGGGCTTTCTGTAGTTGGTAGGAAGATTTCTTTGTATCTTACGACTTACCATGGACACTTTATTTTAAGTCTTATTCATAGAACTAGCCTGTATGAAAGTTACATGGATATGTTTTAGCACTTTAATTGTAAATAAACATTTATTAAACTTTTACTGTATATTGTAGGTCACATCATAGACTGTGCTTTCACAATGACCTTTAACCCAAAGTATGACAAACTTTTAGAGGCTGTAAAAGCTGCTACAAACACTGGAATAAAGGTAAAATCTTTACAGTTATTAAACATTTATAACTGATTTTGTATAACAGGGTGTCATTTGGATGCCTTTATCATGTGAAGTGAGGTTTCATTGAGTGAGTTGTCATTGGTTCAAAATGGGGCGTCAGTGTCACAGTGGTAAAGGTCACTGTGACTTAAAAACACTTGCCTTTCAACACTGTAGGTTCAGCCCGTGTGAGGGTTTTCGGATTCTTGGTGTGAGAAAGCTATCCAGGTAGCTTGCAGACCTTGTTCTACACAGGTGCCTCTTTGTGCCTGAAATAATGTACAAAGGGTCCCTTGAGTTTTTCTCAACCAGTAAAGCCTGAAAGTCGCCACATGACCTTAATGTGTTGTTGTGACGTGGAACCTTCAGTTTCAGTATTCAGTTGGCAATTACAGGTAGGTTAACTAGGAAAAGCGGTGATGTGGTGACTGTTGAGAAGTCTTCATGACAAGAAATGTTTAAATGTTTAAAAACAAACAAAACATAGATTATTGATTGAATTTTTATTCCAATTCAGGAGGCTGGTATAGATGCCAGACTTGGTGAGGTTGGATCTGCCATACAGGAGGTCATGGAATCTTATGAAGTAGAACTAGACGGAAAAACTTATCAAGTTAAATCAATACGAAACCTCAATGGTCATTCTATAGGTCCATATAGAATACATGCAGGGAAGACTGTGCCAATTGTTAAAGGCGGGGAGCAAACCAAAATGGAGGTAATATAAGTCAGGTGTAATATAAGAAATTGAGCTTTATTTGTATTTGTAAATCATTTGTAATTTTGTTCAATAACCAAAATATTTCTGTGAACATTTTCAAATCTGCAGGAAATAATAATACATATAAATATAACGTAATGTACATATAATGTTTATTCTAGTTTCAAGTTTGTAAAGTAGCGTCATGGCCTAGTGGTTAATGCTTCAGACTAGTTATTTCAAAATTGCTGGCCCATAGATCAAACCCTATCAAGAGTTTTCTTGAGCAAGGAACTTTTTTGCTCACTGCTTTTTAGCTCGACTTTTCTATGAAAAGGGGAGCTATCCTACTCGCCCCGGCGTCGGCGTTGGCGTCACACCTTGGTTAAGTTTTTCGTACCACCCCACTTTATTTCAGAAGTATTACAAGTATGGCTTTGAAACTTACCATACTTGTTCACCATCATAACCTCCATCTACAGACAAGAGTACATAACTCTGTCAAGGTTTTTGACAGAATTATGGCCCTTTTTTGACTTAGAAAGTGTATTGAGCTTGGTTAAGTTTTTTGTACCACCTCACTTTATTTCAAAACCATTGGAGGTATTGCTTTGAAACTGACCATACTTGTTTACCATCACGACCTTCATCAACAGACAAGAGGACATAACTCTGTCAAGGTTTTTGACAGAATTATGCCCCTTTTTGACTTAGAAAAATACATTGAATATGGGTAAAATCCACTTATTGCCTTAACCCTTTGAGATATTGCTTTGAAACTTTTAATGCTATTTCACATCATTACCCCATCTGTACGCAAGAGAAGGTAACTCTGTCAAGGATTTGTTTTAAAAATTAAGGCCTTTTATCGACTTAGAATCTTGGTTAAGTTTTTAGTACCAGTCCACTTTTTGACTGAACTGTTTGAGATATTAATTTGAAAGTTGGAATACTTGTTTACAATCATGATTCCCAAAAACATGTCCAGGAGAAGGTAATTCTGTCAAAGATTTTATTTGAATTATGGCCCTTAACTGTCAATGTTTTGTATTATAGGCAAGCAGTGTTCAAGGGTATCACACAATTCAGTAAAATAATTCTTCACTAAATATCTTAATGCTCATGGCCATTGTTCACTTTAAAAATACAGAGATTCTTGTATTGCCTTTTACTGCAAAAACTTTTTTTATTGGCAAGCAATAAAAAAGTCGAGCGCGCTGTCTTACGGACAGCTCTTGTTAGTACCAGTTGGTTCAAGGAACGGATTTAAAAGTGATCGCTTTTCGTCCGCCGTCCGTCCGTAAACTTTTGCTTTAAATGACATCTCCTTATAAACCACTAAGCTAATTTCATCCAAACTTCACAGGAATGTTCCTTTGGTGGTCACCTTTAAAAATTGTTCAAAGAATTTAATTCCATGCAGAACTCTGGTTGCCATGGCAACCGAAAGAAAAAACTTTAAATATCTTCTTTTAAAAAACCCAAAGAGCTAGAGCTTAGATATTTGGCATGAAACATCTTCTAGTGAGTGTCTACCAAGTTTGTTCAAATAAAAGCCCTGGGGTCAAAATTGGTCCCGCCCCAGGGGGTCATTGATTTTCCCTATATGTATATAGTAAAAACTTAAAAAATCTTCTTTTAAAGAACCCAAAGAGATAGAGCTAAGATATTTGGCATGAAACATCTTCTAATGATTGTCTACCAAGTTTGTTAAAAAAAAGCCTTGGGGTCAAAATTGGCCCCGCTCCGGGGGTCATTGATTTCCCTTAATAAGTGTATGGCAAAAACTTAAAAATCTTCTTTGAAAAAACCCAAATAGCTAAAGTTTAGATATTAAGCATGAAACATCTTCTAGTAAGTGTCTACAAAGTTTGTTCAAATAAAAGCCCTGGGGTCAAAACTGGCCCCGCCTCAGAGGTGTCATTGTTTTTAACTATATGTGTATTGTAAAAACTTAAAAAATCTTCTTTTAAAAAACCCAATGAGCTAGAGGTTAGATGTGTAGCATGAAACATCTTCTTGTGGGTGTTCAAATAAAAGCGGTTGGGATAAAATTGGCCCTGCCAGGGGGGGGGGGGGACGGAGGTCATTGTTTTTCATTATATGTGTGTAGTAAAAACTTAACATCATGGAACATCTTCTAATGGGTGTCTTCCAAGTTTGTTCAAATAAAAGCCCTGGGGTTTAAACTGGCCCCGTTCCGGGGGCCTATATACAGGTGAGCGACCTCAGGGCCATCATGGCCCTCTTGCTGTAAGCTTCCAACACGATGGAACTAAATTAAATTCTGAATTAATAAAGCTTAGAAATAGTTTAAAGATTTAAAATTTGTCAATAATATTTTACTATGATTTACATATTCACAGAAAATAGCATTTTCAAGATAGTGGATACATATTCCGACTGTCAGTTTTGTTTATGCAGCCACTTTCACCATCCAGAAACTAGAATTGACATTATAGGTATCTTTATTACCTGAGAATAAGAAGCTGTTTAGAGAAAATCCAAGGGACGACAAGTGAAATCAGGAAATCAGTTTTATTTTAAAACCATGCATTGCTTCAGTTTGGTTTTGAAACCATGTATTGCTTTTTATAGAAGCTATATTTCTTAATATATGACTCTAAAGTGCTTAGTATATGACTATATTCTGAGTATATGTCTCAGATTATGGCTCTATATTTCTAAGAGACTATATATTTCTTAGTGTTATTATTATTATGTCTAACACAGATAAACAGGATGTATATTGTTTGAGAATTTTTCTTTCACTTTTAACAAAATTATTAAATTGTTTGCAGGAAATGGAATTCTATGCTATAGAAACATTTGGTAGTACAGGAAGAGGTGTTGTTCATGATGATATGGAAACCTCACACTACATGAAAAACTTTGATGTCGGCCATGTACCTTTAAGGTTTGTGGATTGAAAAATAAACGCATTTGCTCGTATCATCATATCATTTGTATAATATACTTATCTTAATTCAGTTTTTGCAATTTCAGTAGACAAGTGGAAAGCTGGACAATATACAGACAACATGCTGGTTTATTGAGCAGCAAGATACATTATACTTATCCCTAAACCTCCTAAATTTACATAATGAATTTGCCCTGCTTTGAATTTGGAACAGTCCATTCAAAGTCTAAGGGATTTCAATATCAAAATACAAAAATTGAGCTACAAAATGCTCAGAGCCTGGTGGGGGTGTGTGGCCAGTATCAGTCGGTTCCAGCAGGTTAAGGTTTAATAATGTTACTAAGACTCGGCTTGATTTTGTCTTCTACAGAAAATACTTTTACCATATTCAAATTATTAATTCCAATCCTTTAATGTGATGTACAGTATCAATGGAAAGTCTGAAATTAAATTGAATAATTGAATTATAAAACAAATATCAGCTTTGAATTTCATATTGTTAATAGTACATAGTATTAGAAATTAAAAAAAAAATGTCCAAACTTATGAAGCATGTGCATTATTTTACTAAATCCTTACATTAAGCATAAAATCAGATTTTGCACAGTAAAAGATATTTTCAACTTTACATTTGCAGTAGTTATCATTGATATTTTTAGAATAACATGCATGATCACCAAGTGGCATTATTGCCACAGTTTTTTTGTGATTACGCACTAAAGAAAGTATACAACTTTTCGATTTCTACCATAGTCGTTGATTTTCTTTTATTTCTCAGATTACAAAGAGCTAAAACATTGCTTAACACAATCAATCAGAACTTTGGGACGTTAGCATTCTGTCGACGATGGTTGGACCGTCTTGGGGAGTCTAAATACCTCATGGGCTTGAAGAACCTCTGTGATGTTGGCATCTTAGACCCGTATCCTCCCCTGTGTGATATAAAGGGCTGTTACACCGCCCAGTTCGAGCACACGTTACTCCTGAGGCCAACCTGCAAGGAAATTATCAGCCGAGGAGACGACTTTTAACCATTACACTGCTATATTTTTGTATAATGGTCTAGACCGGTTTTGAACTGAATCTATTCTAGTGGCAAAGACTTAACACTTTCCATTCAGACAGGTTTAAAGTTTAAGCTGAAAATATTGTATCTATGATGCAAAGAGTAATTTACAAGTTTTTTTCCCCAAATGGTTTTGATATAAAAAAAGCATAGAAATTTAGAAGTTGAGGGTTGTCATGTCAAACTGCTCAAGTATGCTGGCTGGCCTCATTTTATCACTTATACTGGTACAAAGGCAAGTCCTTATTGCCACTAGCAGTGAAAGAGTTCTTTAAACAGTTATACACCTTGTTATTAGCTGTAAATACAATGTGATGAAATACAGTAGCAAAATAAATTCGATATGATATCTTCAGATTGTAGTGATATTCTTACCTATAAACAAAAATATATGCTTGGTTAATAATATGTTAAGAATACTGTCTTTGTAACTGTTACTATTTCAAGTAAGAAGTAATTAAAATCATATTTAGCTCACCTGTGCTCATGGTGAGCTTCTGTGATCCCCTATGTCTGTGTTCTTGTCTGTTTATACTCAACAATTACTTTAAACCACATATCTTTTGTAACGAATGTCTAGATATTAACCACAATTAACTGGAATGATTTTCATCGTGATTTACGGATGTATGTACTGGCCTGACTATATACTGGTGTCAAAGGCTGGTCACTTTCTGTTCAAACGGCGATTAAGGGTTAGTGCAGAAAATATATCATATCTAGAATAATTGATTTTGCTTGCCACGTAAGATTTTTATATTTCATTTAAATTTGTTAGTGTGAAAAATTGGAAGTTTATCATAAAATTTTCACTAGTTTGACAGCATGTGTACAAGCTTGACAGTGCGCATGTTAATATAAAAGCTAAGAACTTGCACAGGTTCAAACGTGACAGCACATGTGGTCAAGTATGACTTGCATTGGCACAAAGTTGAAACTGAATCAGTTTTTTAAGCCATTTGTTTTGTTTTTACTTTTATTAAGAAATCGGCTTTTTTAATAGAGTTTTCATTGATATTGTCAAACCTGGATTGTAATACATATTGTAATACATTGATTGTTATAAATGGAAAAAAATATTTGAAATGTTAAAAAGTCTAGAAACCACTGACAGTACTTGGCGTGCAAGTAAGTTTAACAAGTATCGAGGAATGAGGATACTTTACCAGGGTACATATAGTTGACACTGCTCTGAAGTTACCGGTACACTGGCATATTGTTGAACCGCTTCTTTTTAAGAAATACAAAATTGTTAAGTGTCAATATATAGTTTATCAGTATTTCATAATTGTATAAAGATATATTTTCCAAAAAGCTCATATTATTTTACAAAAAGTGTATTTGGAATGGCTCTTAAATGTTTTTTTATGACCGCCTCCGTGGTTGAGGGGTTAGAGTCAATGACTTCTAATCCAGTTACCTCTCTGGCGTGGGTCCGATCCCCGGGAGATGCTTTGGTAGTTTAGCGCGGAGGAAGGTAGTCTGGTACTGGTGTAACTCTCCAGGAACGATGGTTAGGAAACTACCCGAAATACTGTTGGAAAAAGGCGTAAAATGAAACAAACAAACAATTAAATCTTGTAGAAACTATGGTACATCATTGTGGAAATTGTGTAATTTTAATATGTTGAGCAGCATATAAACTCTTTAATTTGTGTTAAACTGAAAATAATTGATATTATAGTGTGCTATTGAAAAAAAAGTGCTGAAATAAAAAATTGATTAATCGTTGTTGTTATTGTCATTTCAAAATTAATGCAAGACATATACATATAGACAATGTAATTTTAGTTTGTCAATAACTGCTGTGTCGGAGTATAAAAAACTTAAATGTAGCCTATTACTTATATAGTTAAAATGCTTAACATCAAAGGGGCATTTGTAGCAGTATTATTCTGAAATAAGAAATGTATGAAAAGTTCTAGTCAGAAGTGCAAGAGAAACCTTTATATTTGAAAGAAAACTGTCAGACTATATTAATGGACTACATGTATATTTAAAATACATATTTTAGAACATATACAAGTATAATTATAGAAAAAAAAGAAAGTCTTTGGATAATTCTCTGTAAATTTTTTATGCTGAGGGAAACAACTGATTTCTTTATTACAGGCGCAGCATTCAATATGTTAAAGGAAAACACAATACCAAACTATGTAATGGATGTGAATATTTCAGCATTGATTTCAAAGTGGCAAACATTAAACTTTTTTTATGGTCGTGCAAGAACTGAAATGTAGCCTTTTACTTAAATATTGTAAAAGGTATCATAGATAAAACTTGGTTTACTTGTTTATCATGACAAGGTGCAATTGTAAACTAGGGGCATAATTCTGAAAACTTTATTTTCAGAGTTATGTCCGTTTTTAACTTGAATCTTTTGACAAAATGGCCATATATAATAAAGAAGAATGATTTTAAAACTATGAAAGGTATCTACATGAAACTTGGAAACATGACCAGGTACAATTGTATTGTTAGACAAAGGACAAAATTCTGAACAATGTCTTTCAGTTTTAAAGACCCTGTTCTGAAAGCATTATTTTTGGAGTCATACCCCTTAACTTCAAAGAAATTACACAGTTCTTAGACTAAGGACATTGAAAAGGGGTATTTCCCCTTTTGATTTGAATAATGATAACAATTGGTTAATGATGGTTGTTGCCCTTAACAGATGAGCGTTTACATCGCATGGTTTGCTCTTAATAAAGATGAGGGCCAAGACCATTTCTAATTCTATATTACATTTATAAGCTTGAGCATTGGGAAACGCATCTGAAATTACTAAATTGGCACAAAATATGTGTTTCAAATAAAATTTACCTTGGCTGTGGATATTGGTAACTCAGTTACAAATTCTTGATGACTTAGTAGTATTTTTTTTGTAGAAACACAGGAAAACTATATATGACTGTACCAATTTTAGGACAGAGTTCTATTTAACAAATGCCGATAAACTGTTGTATTCCAATCCTAAAGAATGCTGTTAATTTGTTCATTAGTGATATGTCAATGGCCCTTTTTTATTCTGATTTGCGCACGTACACGATAATAATCATAAATATTGGATGAATTAATATATTGAATCTAGTTTTGTTTTAATTCATGATTTATTTTAACTCATTTATTTAACCCTAAAATGATATCACCAATGAGGAATTTTCCTTGCTATAAGTATAAAAGCAAGCCAATTTACGCAAGCCAATTTACACAACAAATGACAAGACTTCGTACTATGTGTGTGGTGTTGGTGTTGTTGTTAGATTACCCTGGGCAGTAAGCCACTTTGAATTCACCAGAGTACAGTTCAGGCAGCACATCATTTCTGGGCATGTTGTCAAGCAGTCAACAATTACTCAGTCATGTACTAGTGCCTTCACCTTTGCAAGTACGCCAGGAACTGTTAACCTCTGTACATGCCCGATCAGAGGTACAACGCTTACAATTAGTATTCCAATCCTAAAGAATGCTGTTAATTTGTTCATTTCCAATCAATGTTCTTTTCATAGAGTAATATGTCAATAAGGTCCTCTTTAACTCGACTATACGAAGTTTATGGAGAGCTGTCCTACTCGCCCCGGCGTCCAGATTTCATCAACCACATCTTATGTGACAAGGTTCATAACTCTAGCACCAATATTTTCATATTTATCTCCCCGTGAAATTAGAATTTTCCTTAAAAATACTATTTTTTACTGTTACTTCTTTATTTCTTAAGGGATCAACTTCATACTTCAAATATATGTTCCTTTATCACCAACCACATCTTGTTAACACTCTTATTGTCACAATTTTGACTCAATTGTCATCAAACTTGGTCATGATGCTTGCCTAAGTAATTGCTCTGATGAGTTCGATTGGTCAGGTGAGCAATCTAGGGCCATCTTGGCCCTCTTGTTTATCTAATTTCTTTGTTCTTTAACTTTTGTCTCTTTCTATCAAATATTTCCTATTTATCACAGGTGCAACATTTAATATGTTAAAGGAAAACACAATAGCAAACTATGTAATGGATATGAATATTTTAGCATTGATTTCACTACGGCAAACATTAAACTTTCATTCGTCATCGTTTAAAAACTTAAATATTGCCTATTACTTAAATATTTTAAAAGGTATAAAGACTTGCTTATCATGACAAGGTGCAATTGTAAGACAAGGGGCATCATTCTGAAAGCTATATTTTTAGAGTTATGTCCGTTTTTAATTTAGAATTTATATTTTTTGACAAAATGGCCATATATAATAAAGTAGAATGACTTTATAACTATGAAAGGTCACGAACTACTATAAATTATATTGCATATATAAGCTTTAGCATTGTGTAACGAATCTGAAATTACAAAAATTTAGCCCCCACGTGTTGTTCAATTTAAAATTTCCCTTTAAAGGCGGGGGAAGGGAATTTTTTATTGGGGAAAAAATAAACTTTTTGGGTTTAAAAATTTCTTTTGGTTTTTGGAAACTTTAAAAGTTTTATTTTTAATTTTTTTTTTGGGGAAAACCACCCAAGGGGAAAAATATATTTTTGGGCCCCCTTGAAAACCCCAATTTTTGGGAAAACAAAAAGGTTAAAATGTTTTTTAAATTTTTATGTGGGTTTTTTTTTGTTAAAAATTTTTGGGGTTGGATTTAGGGAAAAACCGTCTTCCTAATTAAAAAAACCCAAATGCAAAATTTAAAAAATTTTTTTTGTTTTTATCCAAAATTCCTAAAAAAATGATGTTAATTTGTTCATTTCCGACCAATGTTATTGCCATAGAGTGATATGTCAATTGGCCCTTTTTTATTCTGATTTACGCACGTACATGATCATCTTGCTAATTTAAACTACCTGTAGAAATTTATTCATATTTCATAGTTTTCAACTGTTAAGATTATTTCATTTCTTTATAAGATTCCACTTTCTCCCTTTTAAGGCTGTACGAACCGAAAATCTCAAACAACCCTTAAACGTGTTGCCACGGTTTATTCTGACCTGGCTGTATACTGTTGTTTACCTGAATTGTTGTTCTTTCCTTATGAAGGAATTTAAATGTTTAAATTTAAATAAGATACTTGTATAAAGCTTCCAGCACAGTCACACTGAAATTAATTAAAAATTCAGTAGAAATTATTTTAAGGTTCACACTAAAAGAGGAAATTCTCCACATCTCATAGCTTGCGTTTTTTTTAAATTTTTGATTATTCAGTCAAGGGGCAGGACGTGAAGTGGTTGCACACTTGGTTCAAGCGAGCGAATTGGTTGCAAACTTGACAAAATGGCAAACACGGCGTGATTTTTTGAAACGGGTGAACGAATTTTTGCCAGGCAAGTGGGTTTCTTTGTTATTTTGAAGTTCTTCCATAATGCAATATATATATACCACACTCGGTTTAAGGTTTCAGCATCCTAGATTCTGTTTTGACGAAGTTATTGAAGATGTATAAACTGATCATGTAGATATTTTGAAATTTGACATGTGACTGTTCTGGTCGGGTTTTCTCCTAATTTATTTGAATCTGTAATTTTTGAACTGCATCTAACAATAACAAAATATGTTTCTGTCAATGCAGTACAAATGGTTTAGTTCGCAAGTCCGAAGACAACGTTCAATACACAAAAATATCTTGTTCAAGCACATTTTGGTTGCAGACTTCTACTTCAAGCATTTTTGGTTGCAAACTTATTCTTATTCTATTGAAATCCATAGTAAAACTTTGCAAAAGGGTTGTAGTAGTTTATATTTATTAACCTATTTTTAATGGCAATTATTGACATTTACTAGTATGTTCTTTTACTTGTTTTTGTTATAAATGTTATTTATACTTTCTTCTTTTACAACAAGTATGTACTTTATGTTTCAAATTACATGGTTCTCAGTTCAATACTATAATCATCAGTAAAAGCCTGCAAACAAAATAATAGCACATAGAAGAAAAATATTTATTGATACTTCAATTCTAAAATATGTCATCATATGTAAAATGTAAATGAAAACTTCATACAAAACAAACGTATGTGAGAGTACTGCTGTATGTAAGTGAATTATTTTCATCATAAACAGAAGGACATGTGCACACATACGATGTTACTCGGTAAAATTTCCGAGGTTTATCAAAACCACAATAAATGTTATTAGTCCCCTACCGGTTTAACCGGAGGGGACTTTAGGTTTACCCTCCGTCCGTCTGTCCGTCCGTCTGTCTGTCAGTCCGTCCGTCCACAAAACTGGATCCCGCGATAATGCAAAAAGTACTAAAAATATTTTTATGAAACTTGATATATGGATAAATGGCAGTATGGAAATTATGCACGTCTTTTCCTTTTGTTCCTATGTTGAAAATTCTGGTTGCTATGGCAACAAATAGTCTGAAAATATGGCAAATTTAACACATAAACTGGATCCAGTGATAACTCAAAAAGTACTGAAAATATTTTTATGAATCTTGAAATATGGGTAAATGGCAGTCTGGAGATTATGCACATTTTTTCTTTTCTTTCTATGTTGAAAATTCTGGTTGCTATGGCAACAAATAGCCTAAATTTCAAGATTTTTTATTTAAATTTTTCAGCTTTTTCACTATACGTTCTTTATTTCTTAAGGTGTTTACTTCAAACTTTAAATATAAGTTTCTGGTCATCAACCACATCATATGTGACAAGGTTTATCCACTCTAGCACAAAAATTATCAGTATTACCTCCCTTGAACTTAGAATTTTTATGAAAAAAAATGTTGTCTTTTT